GATCTGCGACAGACATCGGCGATCATGGTTCTCCATTCATTCACCCAGTGCCAGATCTGCGACAGACATCGGCGATCATGGTTCTCCATTCATTCACCCATTGTCATATCTGCGACAGACATAGGCGATCATGGTTCTCCATTCATTCATCCAGTGCCAGATCTGCGACAGACATCGGCGATCATGGTTCTCCATTCATTCACCCATTGTCATATCTGCGACAGACATAGGCGATCATGGTTCTCCATTCATTCATCCAGTGCCAGATCTGCGACAGACATCGGCGATCATGGTTCTCCATTCATTCACCCAGTGCCAGATCTGCGACAGACATCGGCGATCATGGTTCTCCATTCATTCACCCATTGTCATATCTGCGACAGACATAGGCGATCATGGTTCTCCATTCATTCATCCAGTGCCAGATCTGCGACAGACATCGGCGATCATGGTTCTCCATTCATTCATCCAGTGTCAGATCTGCGACAGACATCGGCGATCATGGTTCTCCTTTCATTCATCCAGTGTCAGATCTGCGACAGACATCGGCGATCATGGTTCTCCATTCATTCCTTTGATCGGATGCTCTAAAAAAAGCTACGTTTCCCTGATCTTTCCCTGTTACCCATTTGTTTAGGTTCCCTAAGTAGGTTGCTCTGGGCCTACCCCTGCCTCGTTTGCCTTCAATTTTGCTAGTGAGAGGTAGATGTTCAAGACCCTTATATCTATTCAGGTGTCCCGAAAACTGCATTTGTCGTTTCCTGATTGTTTTTAACATTGAGCGTCCCACTTTGGCTTCATCAAGCACCATCTCATTTGATTTCTTTTCCTTCCACGATATTCTCAGCAGTTTCCTAAGAAACCACAACTGCTGTTGCTTCTATTTCAACTGTCCTTAGTGTCACTGTCCACCATTGACACCCATATGTGACGCGACGCGGTGGAATCAGGCTCTCGTCAATTTTTGGGTATACCCAGTTTATGGTATCATCTTCAGGCCTGTCCATTTTCCTTGTTTTGGGTGAAAATAATACGCATCTATGTTGAATAGAAGTTGAGAAATGAATGATTGAAGGAGGTGAGGGTCATCTGGTTTCAGAGGTAAAATTAGCGAGAAAATGGCCGCCAAAGTTCAGTTATTTCTTTAGCCTGAGAGTCCGTAGAAACTGAGTATTTACATTTCTTCTGCCTTTAATCAATGTTTTTCTGTAAAATCCCCCTCAGAAATCTGCTCTTTGATGGACATGGAGAGTGTTGAACCAAAAAACCAAAATTCGATAAAAATTCCCAAACATGCGGGAAAATGCCAATTTCTTGATTTTCATTATTTTGACTAGCGTCTGATTTCACCACGCTGCTGCACACACACACACACACACACACACACACACACACACACACCCCCCCCCACACACACACACACACACACACCCACACCCCCCCACACCCACACACACACACACACACACACACACACACACACACACACACACACATATACATGTATAATTATCTATGATATAGAAGGGTTGACCACACATGATAGCCTTTCAGAACTTTCATTTTGGGTTGAGTTTGGGATGTATCTATTTTTCTGGGTTGGGCGAATTTTATTTAAAACTATGTTTACCAATTGCAATTCTTCGTTTTATTTCTGTGAAATATTTGACATCAGTTGTAGCTATGTATCTAAGATAATATTTAAACTGTTGAATTTGTTTGAGCTTTTCACCTTTGCCTTGAAGATGACAGAAAATAACAAATTATTGCTTTTTGGCCATGCACTCTGTTTTCTTCACCTTCAACAATAACCCCTTTACGTTTACTTTCCCTTACAACAGGATCTAGAAACGATGAAAGGTTCTTATTCCGAATCTGATATTAACATGCGTCAGTGGCAAATTAATAATAATGATTCTACCTGTATTGAGACCTGGCTACCCTAATTCTTCACTGTACAGGCCACAGAGTTACCCCCTTCCATCTATGGTACAGGCCATAGAGTTACCCCCTTCCATCTATGGTACAGGCAAGGAGCTTAGAACTAATGGAGCCTCCTCTCTCTCTTCGCGGCGCCGCGAGCAGTACGCCGCGTTGGGGATCAAATATGGCCACCGAGTTTGGGCTAAATCACGAACTGTGGCGTTTCTTTTTTTAGAATTCTATCGGGCTTGTCCACGTTGTGGGGGTGGGCGGGGTGGGGGAATGCACGCAAGGAAGAGGGGATGGAGCTGGGATGAAAGAGGAGGGGCGGGCCTTGGGAAGGGATGAAGGAGAATGGGACAATTTAAATAAATAAGAGAGAGAGAGAGAGAGAGAGAGAGAGAGAGAGAGAGAGAGAGAGAGAGAGAGAGAGAGAGAGAGAGACAGACAGACAGACAGACAGACAGACAGACAGACAGACAGACAGACAGACAGACAGACAGACAGACAGACAGACAGACAGACAGACAGACAGACAGACAGATTGTGATCAACTGACGGGATGACGGGGATAGAATGACATGGAGAAAAAAAATTATGTTTGTGATACGGACTGTTCAATCATTTAACTTAAAATGTTATAAATCTAGCTAGTTTAAAAATTAGAAAGATCGGTAAAATAAGAAGAAAACTTGTCCGAGTAACATAAAATGATCAAACATACCAAATTTTTAAAAAAAATCTTTCAAGATGCTAAAATATTTAATTATAAGAAATGGATGAAAATATAATTTTAAACTGAATTTAAGATATATGATTGCATGATTCTAGGCGTGTGCCACAACTAACTTTATGTGTAAGGAATAGCGGACACAAAAGAGGGTCAATGTTTGCTTTATCTAATTGCTAACAGTATGTCTTGGTCTATAAATAATAATATTATTGATCACAATAATTTTGTTTCCTGGTTTTCACAAAGTGGAGCGCACAATTATTTCTAATATTTTTTTAAAAGAAAAAAGAGATAACAGCACCCTTGGAGGTGTGATCGCATGCATGAGCGTGGATAACCTTTGAAGGTTTTTTTTCCCCCCAGTAAAGTATG